TCTCTCTCTCTCTCTCTCTCTCTCTCTCTCTCTCTCTCTCTCTCTCTCTCTCTCTCTCTCTCTCTCTCTCACTGTCTCTGTCGCTGTCTCTGTCTCTCTCTCCCTCTCTCTCTCTCACTGTCTCTGTCTCTCTCTCCCTCTCTCTCTCTCACTGTCTCTGTCTGTCTGTCTGTCTGTCTGTCTGTCTGTCTGTCTGTCTGTCTCTCTCTCTCTCCATCTCCTGTTCATTTCTGTCTTTCTCAGCTCCCTCCCGCTCCCTCTCCTCTCTCTCTCTCTACCCCCTCCCCCCCTCTCGTACCTCTCAACAGGNGTCTCTCTGTCTCTCTGTGTGTGTGTGTCTCTCTCTCTCTCTCTCTCTCTCTCTCTCTGTCTCTGTCTCTGTCTCTCTCTGTCTCTCTGTCTCTCTGTGTGTGTNTCTCTCTCTCTCTCTCTCTCTCTCTCTCTCACTGTCTCTGTCGCTGTCTCTGTCTCTCTCTCCCTCTCTCTCTCTCACTGTCTCTGTCTCTCTCTCCCTCTCTCTCTCTCACTGTCTCTGTCTGTCTGTCTGTCTGTCTGTCTGTCTGTCTGTCTGTCTGTCTCTCTCTCTCTCCATCTCCTGTTCATTTCTGTCTTTCTCAGCTCCCTCCCGCTCCCTCTCCTCTCTCTCTCTCTACCCCCTCCCCCCCTCTCGTACCTCTCAACAGGAGCCACGTTGAAGGCAATGTAGTTGTTCGCGTCCGCGATGGAATCCAGCACTCTCTCCACCTCCTCCTTGGGGAACGAATCCGATACGTAGTCTTTCAGAAGCCCCGCCCTCGCCTTGTTCTTCGCAGCAACCTGGAAACTAACCTGCCCACCGAGCGAGGCAAGGGGGTGCACACCAGGAAAAAACCCGAGCGTATACATCGGGTCGATGCTGCTGGTGTTGCCGCTGTGTGGTTGCTGTTGTCACGACTGCTGCTAGACCTGCGAAAAAGTAATCTTTGAGTGTTCCACTCTACGTTATAAGCCACCTCGGTTCGGCGGATGACGTCATCCAGTATCTCGACCAAACAGATCAAGGCATGCACAATGCAGCGGAGGGATTTTTCTGTGTTTGTGAGCCTGGGTCGCAGCCAAACAGACGTACCGTACCGTACCGTACCGTAAAAGTGCGAGTGACCGTGAAAAAGTGGGAAAGAAACAAACGTCCCTATGCTTGGAGTTATACCCGTCCCATTTCGTCCCATCTCTTATCTCTGCCTCACTGATGGCACACATACACGTCAATTCCCATAATCTCTATCGAAACACGTTCTGCGGTTCACCTCTGCTTTGCTCATGGAGATGCCCGAAATGTCTGCCGTGGCCACCACGACTCGCTCGTCCTGCAGCATCTCCAAGCCTCCTCTATCCTCCACCAAATCATACACCATCTGTTGCGGGAAAAACGGCGCGTCAACAAAAAAACAAGAACACGCACTTTCCTTTTCTCACGAGTGCTCCGAACCCGGAGGCAGGAATTCCCCGTCCAAACTCCCATCGCGCATCCCCCACCCCCCGCGGACTACATACAAGCCGTGTTGAGTCATTTTGTCCCGCTGCGAGGCTGGTACATTTTGATTGGTCAGCACGGTCGCGCCGTGAATGCCAGTTTGAAGACCCACACACACACACACACAAACAGCGACACGTTCCTGTCTTGAATCCGTGAATCCGTAGAATAGTCCATCTAGCCTCCCCCACGACCCTCGCTCACGGGGTACCATAGCATGGCCTTCAGAAGCGTCTTCCCTTGTTTGCCTGGCTGAGGCTGGCTTCTTTTCATTGGTCAACCGGTTACAGAACGCGCCCGCACGTTCAAGACCCCAGGAGACAAAGAAATTTGAGCTTCAAAACAATAATAAACGAAGAACTTGAGCACCCGTTGTGAGCTCGGCTATGAAACCCTACACTAAGTAAAACCTATATAGCGACCATTCGTAGCATGACCCTAGAAGTAAGAACCTCAGCCTCGGCCGAATCTTAGAGGTTCTTTAGCGCAGGCATGTTCTGTAGCGTGGTCGGTGCTATTCATAAGAGGCACACACCTGAATGTCCTTCACTAGTTCCAACCCCACCCGCCCCTGCGCCTGCGCGTCCTGCAGCATGTACATCATCTTGCCATAGAAGTCCCTGAACTTCTCCGGGTTGGTGATCTTGTACCGCCGCCCGACCTTGCCCATTAAGACGAAAAGAGGTACAGGTGTCGAGGCCCAGAACGGAACCAGGCCGAGAAAAACGTGTACGGTCGGTCAACAGGCGCGTTGAAAAAACGCAAGACCCGAAATACAAACGTTGAAGAAAGTCCATGATGGGCTGCTTGCTGCACTCGAATGGGGGTATCCATGACGCACGCGGGTACGCCTACAGCGCACGACACGACGCGCTGAGAGATGTTTTTTGGCTTACATCGGCGGGAGGTATGTATCCACTCAAAAGCAGACAGCACCCGTTTCTGTGACAACTTCGACACAGCCATACAGAAGACAGTCGTGAACATTGTAAGGATACTCGTGGTTATTCGTGACAAAAAAAACAAGAAAAAAAAAGGCGGTCCACAAAGCGCGCGGAAAGCGCCCATTAAAACTAACCGAACTTTTAAAGGTCTGCCGGGCACCACGCTTCTGAAAAAAGCGTCTTTCAAAGTGTGTGGGGGTGTGTGTCCTGAAGCGGGAGGTGTCCTTCAAGGCGGGAAAAAAACTGCTGTACTGCACCTCGAAAATATCGGCGAAGGCGTCCTGGTTATCGTCCAACGAGTCGAGGAGGGCCGCGTTCTTCTGCCCCCAGTTTCGTTCGCCTGTCCGTGTGGTTTTGTTGCGTACAGACGGTGCAGGTACACGCGCGGCGGGGTGGGCGGGGTCGGTTCATCGAGCATTTTCCGTTGAATAGCAGGAGACCCGCTCCTTAGACTCCTCTACAGCACCACCACCAAGGGGCGAAAGAGAGATACATGCCGTCAACTACGCGCGAAGCCCTCCGGGAGCCAACTCAACATCGCCGCAAGTGTGCTGCACACGGAGCAAGTTATTTGCTACGTAAGGGACGTAAATCTCCGTAGATCATTGTCGTTTTTGTTGCCGCTGGTGGTGGTGGTGGTGGTTGTTGTTGTTGTTGTTGTGGTGCTCTCTTCACATATGAAGACGCTTTGGCGATGAGTCTCTGTCAAGAAATCGTTGCGACCTCCCACTCGGCCTGCGCCTCGGCAGCGGTCGAAACTGACCCAGACTGAACTGAGAGAGAACGCGCCTCTTACGGCAACACAACTCTCCACCGCAACCGCAAGGGATAACTGCCGTAGATGTATTGTACGTACGACAAAAAGGAAGAAAAAAAAAAAAAACGCCCCTGCTCGTTGTCCCCCGAACAACTTTGGTTACTGACAAAAAAAAAAAAAACGAGTGGAGGTAGAAAGCACGTCGCGATACAAGTCCCGACCCAACACCATCACGCTTGGCACATCATGCGGTATCATAGCTACAGGTACCAGGCAGTAAATTTGCTCGCGTGAGCGAGGCTACACCACGAAGGACCGACTCGCGACTACACAGACGCGCTGTGGAAGGGACTGCTGTACCCTTCTCGCGATAAAAATATCTCAGGCAGGAACCGCAGGAGGGGGTCCAACCACCCCCCCTCCTATGTGACCCCGGTTGGGTCGTCTACCTGGTAGAAGTGGAGGATAGGGGCCAGAGGGGCAGACGACAGAGTCCAATGATGAGAGACAAGAAGAAAAAAAAAAAAAACGCGCACAGCGAAAAAAAACAATAGGTAAAAAATACGAAATACCGCCGGGTCGACGGAATGCCCTTCGCATGATGGAAACACACAGCTGGCACGAACGACACGGCAGCCGCCGTCACCGGGTGCGGAAAATGAAATGCGAAGAATGTTCTCCGATTTCTTGGCCTGAGCCCAGACCCGGGGGCCAATCTTTCTGGTGAAAATAAAGTCGCGCACGAGCAAAAAAAACAACCTTCTCGCCTGAAATCCGCAGCAAGCGTTGTGTCGGCTGGGAGGCGAACAAAAACACAACAACAACTCACCCGCGACCATCATGCCCGAAAGCGCTGCGAGGGTCATCCGAAGCTCCTCGTTGATGGTCCTGGCCTTGAAGCTCCACCTACTGGAGTACACGTCCACTCTGTATGGAACGATACATGGGACGATAACGTCGCCGACACGCACGCGATATTGTAGAGCGCGCGCGCACACACACACACGTGGGAACGACCACAAGAGGAGGAGGGAGGCATGGAGTGGAAGAGAGCAACAGCTTCGAGCCAGATGACCTTCCCCATAACGAACGACGCAGGGCTAGAGAAGAACTGCGCCGAAAAAATGATGTAACACACAGCAGCGAGCCGGCTGCACGGTACAACTCCACAGGAGCCTAACACTGAACCAGCAGTGTCTCAAATGCTATGAAAAAACTGGCAGATGTTCAAATACGTGTGACATCTGCCAGTTTGTTTGTAGCAGTTGAGGCACTGCTGCTTCAGTCTTCGGCTCCTGTGGAGTCAGTTGTGCCGTACAGTTGGCTCGCTGCTGTGTGTTCTTCCTCGCGAGACGTCTCCCACAAATGGCGTGGGCTCTCGTGGAGCCGGCCGGGTCCAGCGGTCCTCTGCAGCGCGCCGCAAGTCACAGCAACCACTTCGTGAAAACAGTTGGGGTGCGTGCGTGCTGTACTACAACTAGAACGAGAGCGGCAACCAAACAGCGAGAAGAGCGGTCGTGTACGGCGGGTGTGTTGTTCGGGTACTGTGCTGGGCACTCCACACTGATCTGCTGGGGGTTACGTGGGGTGGGGCCGTAGAGCGACGCCCCCCCCGGCAGGGCACCACGCTCCCCTCTCCTCTCTTTCAACAAAACAGCAGTCAAGAAAGTCCTTCGGGTCGACCTTTTCCATGCGCTCCCGACAACAAACCAGCTGTCCGCCTAAATTGGGTGGAACACTCGATACGCACGGTGGTAAAACTCGCTACTCTGCAAACTGAGCAACGCAGGTCTCGCTTTGAAATCGAGCAATAATAACAACGGCGACGATAACAACAGCAACAGCAACAGCAACAACAACAACAACAACAACAACAACAACAACAACAACAACAACAACAACAACGAAACAGCAACTCGGGAGCTTTACCTGTCCGTGTACTCCGAGACGTTCAGCGCCCCTTTCAGCATCGCCAGGAGGCCTCGCTCTCTCGCGTCCAGCCTCAGGGGGATGAACCGGCACTCCTCCAGCACGCTCGACCCGTGCATCCCCACGGCGAGCCTGCCCCACGGGCTCTCCCCGCGCTTCGCACGGCGTCTCCCTGACTCCGTGCACCAACGCAACCGGGGGTTGAGGGAGGGGGGG